TCTTTGGAGGTGCAGAAGCTTCTTAGTTTAAGATAGTCCCATTTATCTATCTCTGTTTTCACTTGCTCGGCCAGTGGCTTGGCGTCTTTGAAAATACCATTAGCCTCAATGTCATGGAGGGTTTTGCCAACTTTGTCTTCAATGTACCTTATGGTTTCTGGTCTGATGTTGAGGTCTTTAATCCATTTTGATCTTACTTTTGTACATGGTGTTAGGCAGAGTTCTGAGCCCATTTTTTTGCATGTAGCCATCCAGTGATGCCAGCACAATTTGTTAAAGAGGCTTTCCTTACTCCACTTCACATTTCTTGCACCTTTATTAAAGATTAGATGATCATATGATTGCGGGGAGATGTCGGTATATTCAACTCTGTTCCATTGGTCTGCAGTTCTGCCTTTGTTCCAGTACCATGCTGTTTTGATTATTACTGCTTTGTAGTAAAGTTTGAAGTTCGGGAGGTTGATTCCTCCCATTTTCTTTTTCCCAAGAATTGCTTTAGCTATTCGTGGGGGCTTATTGTTCCATATAAATTTCAAGAGTGTTTGCTCCATTTCTTTGAAGAATGTCATGGGTATCCTTATAGGGATTGCATTGAATTTATACAATGCTTTCGGTAGTATTGCCATTTTGACAATGTTAAGTCTCCCAACCCATGAGCAGGGGATAGAAGATATGCATTTTTTAATAACCTCTGCCCAAATATTATGGTGTACAGTGCCTCTAGAGTCAAAGTATCCCATTTCAGATAACTCTCATTTCTAAAAGTTTTCATTTTGTTCAGTTAAAATTTGTGTCTCTTTTAAACAGCAATTTATTTTCTATCCTCTGGACTTTCACAAAGTCTTTGTCTTCTCTAATGTGTCAGATGTTCAGATAGGTATAGATAATACTAATTAGGTAACTTTTTGTATAGCATAGTATAGTATCCTACTGTATACTATAGTAGTTTAGGGATATGTAGTTTATGTACGTAAACTGGCAGACTGCATTTGATTCCTAGCTTTGTCACTTAATAGCCATATGACCCTATCTTCTTTGACTCAACTTCCTTACATGTAAAATCGTGATTAAAATTATACTTACAGTACAAAGGGCTATGACTATTAAGGCCTTTACTGTTTTCTAAATAGTTACACCTACTTGTGTTATTTAAGTGCTCATTCTTGTGTTTCTTCGTGTTAGCTTATTAATCACGATCATCCTGTTGTTCATCAATTGCCTCGAGCAGGCACCAGTAACGTCTCCTTCTTCCTAGCCCTGAGATTTTAAAAGAGCCATTTCAGTGCTCTTTCAGGGTTAGGAGAATGAGACCCATCATTGTTACTAGTATTTGGCATATTGAGTACGACACGGGAAGTTTGCCAGACTCTGCCGTACGGGCAGGATACTTTTGGAGGCCTGCTTATTAACTTATTAATAGTATATATAATTCTTGTGACAGTGGTTTTATTTTTAAAAGAAGTAAAAAAAAAGAAATTTAATAATAACATGGATTCCTCCTGTATGCAGAGAAAGACTGAGTACTCATCCACACAGTTACAGTTATAACATTAATCCTATTTTGGGGGGATTGAACATGTGAAACATGAACTCTGCCACCACCACATCTCCCACCCAGAGCATTGTTTTTTAAGTGGAAGCCAATGAGTGAGATGTAGTATACTTCATATTTTGTTATACTTTAATATGAAATTGTTTAATAGTTACTATTATTTATTATGGGGGGAATTTGAAATCTTTTAGGATGTAGAGCTACTCAGCATATACACTTTAAGGCAGATGATTACATCTATTACTAAATAATGTTAACTAACATTTATAAACACTTGTTTGCCAGGCACTGAGCTAATGCCTTACCTCAGTTACATACCCCAATTCAACCTTATTTGCTAGATAATTTATAATAAGGCTTGGAAAGATGAAACCAAATTGTCCAAATTCTCATGGCTAGGAAGTGGCAGATAGGGGGTTCAGAGTTAAGATAATCTTATTTTAAGGCCAGTATCTTAATGACTACATTGTGGTGAGGAAGTGAGATCAGTGTTTTTACATTTCTCAAAATGGGGCATAGATTTAAAACACTGAGAAACACTGCCTCATATATTCAGTTAGAAATGTTTATATTAAACAGATGGAGACATTTTGTTGAATATAAGAATTATGGGACTAGAGAGATAGCTCAGTGAATTGAGCTCAGGCTTTGCATCTCCTTATCACACAGTCCCTTGAGCACAATTGAGAGCAACTTTTTTTTTTTTAATTTTTATTAAAGAGCCATGATTTACAAAGTTTCACTGAGAGCAGCTTCTGAGTTCAGAGCCAGAATAGCTTTCCAGCACCACTGGGTATGGCCCCCACAAAATCAAACAGAAAGACAAACAGAAAGAAAGTCATGAAAAAAAAAAAATCAAAATCTGAGTTGGAAGAGAGAGCTAGATTATCTATTGCTGTAAAGGAAGTTAATAATGTTCATTATCTTAATTTTGGTGCTCTCACAGGTGTATAGGTATGTTAAAGTATACTTATTGGATTGTGCAATTTAAAAATGTACAGTTTATTGTATGTCAGTACAGTTTACATACAGCAAAGACTGCTGAGAAGTTCCTATCAGCAAGTCTTTGGACGTGTAAATATTTTTCTATATACTTATATGTTAAGAATTTTGTCTGGAAGCTTATGAAAATAACGTGAAAATACGCATGACATTTATCCCTTTAATTTATTATGGCACCTTTAAAACTTTGCTTTGTATCATGAATGAGAGGTACAGTTATCATTAAAGTATCACCTATTTGTAATGTCAGGATAGAAGTTAACAGAGATTTGTTACTTAAATTGAAAGCTTGTCAGAAAAACCTAGCAAAACTATCCAGTTGGAAAGACCTATACATCTGTGCAGCTGACAACACCTGGTGGCCTCTGAATCAGGCCAACAGCCATGTCAGTTCTATTTCATTGGTCCTGGGACCTTGTTTACTTTTTATTTTTTTTCGTTTTTGGGTCACACCCGGCGATGCTCAGGGGTTATTTCTGCCTCTGCACTAAGGAATTATACCTGGTGGTGCTCATGGGACCATATGGGATGCTGGAAATCGAACCCAGGTCGGTCGCGTGCAAGGCAAACGCCCTACCCCCTGTACTATAGCTGCAGCTCCTATTTGTTTTTTTTAACCTGAAATAGCTTTCAATCTTTAATTGTTTTTCCATGATTGGCATTTTATTAATACAGACTTGTTTTAGAGAATTTTTTAATTCGTGTCTGTATGCTTGTTCCTCCTAAATTGATATAGTTTATATATTTTTTTTTCGGCTAATATGTCATCAGTATTTCAAATTAGTTGGTATTATTAGTGATGTTAATTTGATCTCTTACCTAAGAAATTTTTTGATATAATGTTATTTTAATTTTTCCCTTCATAATTAATAAGTAATCTCTGGGACTATGTCAGTGCCAGGGATTGAATTTAGAGTCTCACATATGCACAGTAAATGTTCTACCACTGAGCTACATCCCCAATCCAATAATAAACATTTTTTTTTTAAGATGAGACTTTGCATGTAGTATTCTCACCTTGATTGGAAGTTTATTGAGAGTATATTTTTTAATGTTAAAAAATTATGTTTAAGGGGAGATAGTACAGCAGAGAAGGAGCTTGCCTTGAATGCAACCTACATGGACTCGATCCCCAGAACTACATATGGCTCCAAGGTCGCCAGGAGTAATCCTTAAGCACAAAGTCAGGAGTAAGCCCTGAGCACTGCCAAGAGTAGCCCAAAACCAAACAAAACCAAAAGCCAATAAATAAAATGTATGTTTTATCTGAATTTGACTCAGTGCTTAAAGCAGATACCTCACATGTGTGAGGCTTTGGGTTTGATCCCTGACACTGAAAAAAAAATCATTATATAATAGTTAATGTACACACTAAGTACTCAGTATTAGTGACTATTTGACCTTGAGTTTCCTGGTACCAGATTGCTGATTACATGTCTCATAAGGAATTTTGTGTGCTTAACCTAAGAAGAATTCCACAGTTATGTGCTAGGTTGAGTTAATCGCTAATTTTACTAATTAGATATTATTATCAGGTGTCTCAGACCTGTAGAATGGGATGGGAGCAGTAGCACTGATCGCTGAATATTTTGAAAGAGAAAATTTGAAAGATTACTGGAAACAATAATGAAGAAAGCTCTGTTCATTACCACTGGAAAACTTATTAAATGATTAGAATCCTTCTCCCATTTTAATTTGCATTTATGATGAAAGGAAGTTTCTGGGTGGTGTTCATCTTTCAAATTAGACTCACATTTTTTTTTTGGTGCCAGCCTAGTACTTGACCATGACTCATGGGGTGTCACCTTCAGTCTTAAGAATTAGGTCAGGTTTCTTGTGGCTCATGTCACATTGCCACTTGAAATTTAGCTGGAGGAATGAAAATATGGCACAATTGCAGTTGTTTAGATGACATCTTTTTTGGGAGGCTTGATAGGGGCATCGAGGCAGAGTAGCCAGTCCTCATTCTGTCCAGCATTTGTTTTGTTTTCAGCCTCTGCCCTGAAGATTTTCTTTGAATTTTCACTGTACCATATCTGCCTCAGAGTTAGCAGTTGATCATTAAAGTTGTCTTATTCCCAAAGTTCACCAAAATGGACTTTTCATTTTTCTATGTACCGGTCATTATACCTCTAGGTGCCCCATGCGTATAGTTAAGGGTTAATGGCAAAGTCTCTCTAACCAACTTTCTCTGTCAAGTTATTCTGATCTTTTGTATGCAATCAGGATATGAAATGAACAGGATATGAATACAGGCAGCCTTGCTCAGGGAGAATAATTTCCTAGGTCAGGTCAAACAAGGCATTTCACTGGGAAACCTGTGTTTTGTGAAGAACTTTTGCCAGATACAGTTGGTTCATCTTGAAATGTGTGCTATGAAATTGATATATTGCTTAATGTATCAATTTTAATATCTCTGAAATACTGAGACCTTTTTTCTCACCAGGTAATTCCACTGTCTACCATTAGTTAAAAGAAGATGGATGCCCAGACTTCAGCCAAAGTCAATACGAGAAAGAGGAGGAAAGAGACACCTGGACCCAATGGGGCAACAGACAAAGATGGAATTTCTTCTAAAATGCCACGCTGTGCAATTGTAAGTAGAAATTTCTTTGTTAAACAGTTAACCTGCCAGCAAGAGGGTGAATAATATTGACATAAGTATTACAAGTCTTCTTAAATATCTTCTTAAATAATGGGAAGAATGCTTACAGTGACTGGAAAGCATATATTTTCAGGTGTTGAAAATCTTATATTTTCCTACCAGATTATAACTTGGAGCTCTGTTGTAAGAGCTTTACATTGCAATAAGAATAAGAATGGTAGGAAAAGTTGGAGGTTGTGTGTACAGTATGCTAAAGATCACATTCAAATCAGTGAAGTATAGAAACTAGGCCTCCAGCTAGTTATCTCTTGGTATCATCTCATGGTGTATGGTTTTCTTGCTTTAGTATCCTTTATGCTAAACCATTCCTCCAATCTCTTGCTGGTTATATCTTAGGCTAGGTGTCTTTTTGTATAACCCCCTACGTTGTTTTCCTTTATCTCTGGGATATTGTCTTTGTATTTACTAACTACTGCCAAACCTTCAGTGAATGACTCCATTCTAAATTGCTCATCCCATCTCAGGTTGTACCTTACCTAAAATTTCCCCTCAGAAACATGTTTAAAAATGTATGTGCAACTGAATTTTGTTATTGATATACAATAGTATGAAATCCATGCCTTAAAATCTCATTGACTGAGTCAAGGATATGGCTCAATGGTACAGCACTTGTTTTGCACATGTGAGGCCCTCGGTTTTTTACTGGTACCTCATATTCCCTTAAGTATTGGGTATGACCCGGAGTATATCAAGTATGCCACTTCCCCCCAAAAAATCACAGTAACATAAGTATATACAGTATATTTATTAATATTTATTTTTAATCATTGATCAAAATGAAGCTTCCACTGATTAATTCTGTAACTTTATAGCCCAGTGGGGGAAATGTATTTGCTCTTACACAACTAACAATTGTTCCAAACCATCTTGAGCAATAAAAGGAACAACAGTCTACAAATAGAAGACACCTGATAGCTAATAATAATGATGGGAGCAAGTATATTAGCTTCCTATTCCACAAATTTTGTGACCTAAAACATTAGGTTTATTTATTTTTTGGTGGATGTACAATACAATATTTTTATAGTGGTGGGATGCAGTGATATTGTACATCAATAACCATAAACTAACAGTGCTGTTAAACTATGTACCTAAATACATATTTTAATATATTTATATATACACATATTATAAATCGAAGTATATGTGTGTGTGTGTATATATGTGTGTGTGTGTGTGTGTATCTATATTTGACACTTTCTTTTAGAACTTCACCTATAACAGTTTTCACTTACTCCCAGCTCTTTCTCATTTCTTCTTTCTTGAGATTGTCTTTCTCTAATTTGGGGGTGGAGGGTGGGGGTGGAGTGGAGGTTGTGTCACTCCTGGAACTGCACAGGGATTACTCCTGGTCCTGTGCTTACTATAATCCTTGTACTATGTCTTCAGGCCGATTAGGTTTTTTAATGTTACCGTACATTTCTTGACGTCATAAGTCAGAAATGGATCACAGAGGGCTAAAATCAAAGTGTTGGCAAGGTTGGAGTTTCTGTAGGAGAGTCTCTTTTCTTGCTAACCAGAAATCCTATCTGACCACAGCCTTATCTTTCTGCTCTTGCTTCTGCCTCCTTCATTCACATAAGACCCCTGTGACTACAGTGAACATACCCAGATGATCCAGGATAGGCTTTCTGACCGAAAATTATTTACTTTGATTCACATATGCAGAGCCCCTTTTTTCACGTAACATAGTATAGTCTCAGTTTGTAGAGAATAAAATGTAGACCTCTATTGGAGGGGAATATTCTGCTTTCCACAGCAGAGTGTACAAACTCAGAAAATGATTCAGCAATGAACAACACAGGACATAGTTAATTTCTGAATTCAGAGTATAATGGTTATGGCAGGCATTTCAGTCATCTTACTTGGAAGAGGAGACAAGTCATATCCAGTAGGTGATATTCTCAGTCAATAAACAGGAATAAAGCAAAGGAAGCCAGTGGTAATGGAATAGACTCTGAGAGAGCTTAACGTTTCTTGGTACTTAGCAGCTGAAGAATTTTAAGTAAGTAAAGTAAGTAAAGGCCCTCCCGTTGATCATCGATTTGCTCGAGCGGGCCCAGTAACGTCTCCATTGGAGACTTTGTTGTTACTGTGTCTGGCATCTCGAATCCGTCACGGGGAGCTTGCCAGGCTCTGCCGTGCGGGCGAGATACTCTCGGTAGCTTGCCGGGCTCTCCGAGAGGGGCGGAGGAATCGAACTCGGGTCGGCCATGTTGGCTGTATGCACCAAATTACTTTGCTTCATATATTTATGTCGCCGATAAGTTGAGTGACCTGCTGCCAATTCCACATTCCTCTCTGGTACACATTGGCCTTTTAGTCTGGGCTAATAGTGAAAGATTCACTAACCCAACAGGCTAGACCAATCCTAATGAGGTATGTCTACTGAGTAATCTTATCTGTCATTTCTGTGGCAGTATACTTTCTATCTCTGAATGACTTTCAATTCTATATTCTAAGCAAGGTTTTCCCTTTTTTTAATAACAGATTTATGAATCAAATATTCTCCCACTTTTACTATACAATGTAATATTTCTTTTTTAGTATTTTCAGAGAGTTGTACAACCATTATACAACCAATTTCAGAATCTTTATCACTCCAGAGAGAAAATTCATAATCTATTAACAATCATCACTGTTTCCTTCCAGCCTTCCCAGCTGCTAGAAACTGCTCATCTATTTTCTGACTCGATAGATCTGCCTGTTTTGACATTGCATACAAAATGGCATTCTACTGTATGTGATTGTTTATGGCTGGCTTATTTCATTGAGCATGTTTTTCAGATTGATGCTATAGAAGTGTTAGTAATTTCCTTATTTCCCTTTTTTGTGGTGGGGAGCACACCCAACAGTGCTCAGGACGTACTCCTTACTCTGCACTCAGGGAACACTCCTGGTGAGACTTGGAGGAACGTATGGGTCCCAGGAATAAAGCCCAAGTTGGCCACATGCAAGGCAAGTTCCTTTACCTGATGTACTGTCTCTCTGACCCCAGTAACTTATTTTTTATTACTACTAAATAACATTCCATTGTTTATCACATACCACATTTTTTCTTTAGTCATTTACTTATTAACCATGGTTTATATTATATCTTAGCAAATAAGATTTCAAAATTTTAACATACACTTAAAAATTGCCAGCTTGGCAGCTGAGTGTAAAGGTTAATAAGGTTTTCCACTTGAGAGATACGTGTATAATATAGAGTCCTATGACTCAGAGTTTATAAGTTTTAGGAAATTTTTTTTGTAGGTGAAAAGGACAGGAAGGTTTGAAGGATTGCCAAATATTAGGTAGCAGGGCTGTGGACCAGGAGGAAATGGATAGAAGAGAGAACAGAATTTGGAGGGAAAATTAAGGAATAATTCTATGGCTGACTTGTCTAAACATACAAAAAAAATTCACTGGTCCGGGTGTTTATAAAGGTATAGTTACAAACCAAACTCATACGTGGAATATAAAATAGCATATTACGAGACTAACACCCAAGGACAGTAGCGACAAGTGCCAGAAGTTGGAAGCTTACCTCAAGTGCTGGGGGAGAAGGCAGTTGGGATAGAGAAAGGACTACTAAGTCAGTGATGGTTGGAAGGATTGCTCAGGATGGGAGTTGTGTGCTGAAAGTGGGTAAAGGATCAAACATGATAGCCTTTCAGTATCTGTATTGCAAATTATAATGCCCAGAAGTAGATAGAGAGTAAGAAGAAAAGTGCCTGCCATAGAGACAGGGGGGTGGGGTGGGGGGGGTGGAGTGGAGTGGTGGAAGGGGTACTGGGGCCATTGGTAGTGGAAAATGTGCACTGGTGGAGGGATGAGTGTTTGATCAGTGTATGTCTAAAGCCTAGTCATAAAAGCTTGGTAACTGTATCTCACGGTGATTCAGTAAATTATATACCACTGTAGCACTGTCCTCCCGTTGTTCATTGATTTGCTCGAGCTGGCACCAGTAATGTCTCAATTGTGAGACTTGTTACTGTTTTTGGCATATCAAATATGCCACAGGGAGCTTGCCAGGCTTTGCCATGCGGGCGGGATGCTCTCAGTAGCTTGCTGGGCTCTACGAAAGGGACAGAGGAATCGAACCCAGGTCAGCCACTATTGCACAGCGGGTAAGGCATGTGCCTTGCACACAGATGACCCGGGTTCAATTCCTCCATCCCCCTCGGAGAGCCCGGCAAGCTACCGAGAGTATTCCACCCGCACAGCAGAGCCTGCCAAGCTCCCCGTGGCGTATTCATTATGGCAAAAACAGTAACAACAAGTCTCACAATGGAGACGTTACTGGTGCCCGCTCAAGCAAATCAATGAACAACAGGAGGACAGTGCTACAGTGGTACTGAGTCTGAAACTGTATACAAAGGAGAACTAAATAAAAACTTGCAAAATTTCTCGACCATAATTCTTTAAAACCTGACTTTGCTCAAATTATATACGTAAATAAAACTTTTTAAATGGTATAATCACAAAGTATTATACAGAATATGGCGTTTAGCCTATCTTATTTTTTATTTAATTATGACTATGTCACAGAATACCTAAACTTTGGGGGAAATTGACTTATGGTATCCAATTACAGTCCTGCTTATGGAGGCAGATCTTATGAGCTCTTTTCTACCATCATATACTGAAAACCTCTCTCCATTAGTTACTATGCATTAGGGATGCAAAGGAGATAATAACCTTGCCCTTAAACTTAGATACAAATAGGGAGCGTGTTACATTGTGAATAGTACCAGTGAATGTCAGTGACTGTCTAAAGGAATTAAAGATTAACTGTGACTGAGGGGTTGAGACACTGGTTTGGGAAAACTTTAGAGAAGATTATTTCTGAGCTGAATTTTGAAAGTTAAAAATAGGCACTAAATAAAAAAGGTAAAGGCCCTCCCGTTGATCGTCGATTTGCTCGAGCGGGCCCAGTAACGTCTCCA